CCTAGTCGGGGAAAACGAACTTCGTTTGGACAAACGGCGAGCTCCAACAGATAGAAAAGGTGAAAGAAAATCAACGGGAAATTGAATTTCTTTGTAATTTTGTTTAAATTAAAAAAAAAAGAAATTAAAAAATGTAATCCAATAAGTTTTTCTTCTAAAACTAGTGAAAGGTAACAAAATTTTTCTCGCGTCGAAGAGGGCTTTGCGGTGTTCGTGCGGTTGCCCGCAAAACCCAAAACCCTAATTAGGAAGAAGTCCGAACCCCAATTTTGAGAGAAGCGGGTAGATAGAGGGAAGCCATAGCTTCTAGCTTCCGCATTTGTTACGGATTATTTTTTTGTCAAATATATCCCGTAAGATTGTGGAAATTAATTCGGGAAGTTTTGCCCCATTAAATAATTAAGAATTGTTTTACTTTTGATTTTGTTATTTAAAATCGATAAAAAAATTAAAATAAATATTAAAAATTGCGTAGGGGCATTTGTTCGACTTCAATGCTCTTCATATCTATTTTACCTATTTGAGGGACTTTTTTCCGAACCCCATCTCACCGGGGGGAAAGGAAAACTGTTGTCGAAATTTCTCGAAATTTCCCTTTTATTTTAAATTTTTGCTAATCAATTAACAAAAATATTTAAAAATCGAGTTAAATCAATTTTCCTTTTTTTTTCATTATTCCTTTTGATATTCCCTCTTCGGCAGCGCTGTTTGAGGGCTTCGCCCAAACCCCATCCCAACGGGGGGAGGCGAAACGCTGCCGAAATTTTAATAAATTCCCCAAAATTTATTTCTACCCCTAAAAATCATCAAACTCGGCGGGCTTATATATCGTCAAATAGAACTGCCCGGTAAACCGTAGGCAGAGAGGGAGAAGAGGACAACAAATGAGGGGCTGTGACAAACTGTTTCGTCGGAGTTTCACCGACTCATCAGGAGGCTGAACCCTCTATTGATCCTTAATATATATAAACTAAGAAAGAAATTTTATCTTAATTAAATATATTTTCTTTAATTTATAATTGAAAAATACGAAAGAATTCCCTAGAAGAAGAAGGGAAAGAGACGCTGTGGAAACCTGGTTTCGAGTGAACCTACTAGCTTGTTCCCGAAGGCGTGAGGCGAGTGACGAGAATTTTTCAGTTATTAATCTACACCTCCCTCTTGCTGCGTTCTCTCTAGCTGCCAGTTGAATGTGGCCGCGGGTGCAAGTAGAGGACTATGGGGCAACCATTGACTGGGACTTGGAGCCCCTGAACTCATAGAGGGGGATCTGGTCGAGCTCACGATCCCCGGGCGCAACATTCGACACGTTGACGGCCAGTTTGCGTGGAGGTCCATAATCTTGTCCGAGGACGTGTGGCTTTGGACGTACAGAGAGCACCGGYCGGGGCAAGGAGTAGGCGTAGTGAGAGCCTACTTGTATTTGGGACCGGGTGCGGTCAGGGAGGCCGTGGTGGGCCTCGCGACGACAGGGACTAGTGGCACAGTTAGCAGGGCGTTACGCTACCTAGGGGAAGAGGTAGCTGCCTTCCGAGCGGAGGACTCGAGCGATCCGTTGACCCTATTTCACGCACGCCCTCCTCTTGATATCACGGGCGAGCTGGTGGTAGCAAGGGACGGGTTTTTCCCGTACAGCGTTAGGAGCCTGCGGGCGATAGTTCCGACGTTCGTAGTAGAGAGCGTCTTTGGAGGTATTGGTGGAGTGGTCGAGACATACCTGGCCTATCAGGATCGGCCTGCCGACCAAGGCTACATCTTCTATTCGCTCGCAACCGGTGGGCCTCGTTGGGGAGACGAGAGGGTTCAGCTTATAGAGCTGATCCGCTCGATAGACGACGAGTGGCCCCAGTCTCCGTGCGTTTGGGATTGGCTAGACCGCGAGCTCCGAGCAGGCCCCGAGTACGTGACCTGCATCGGGCGGCTCTTCTCAGACGACTGGGAGAGCTGGTGGGGTGAGGACGCCGGGCGGCCTCTGATATACGGCCATCAGTTGGCGCAATACTACCAGGGTATAGGACAGGCGCCATACCGCGTCGAGGACGAGTTTGACGACGAGGGTTGGGAGTGAGAGGACGACGAGGACGCCTGGGAGCCAGACTGGGTCGACCCAGAGAGTGAGGTTGACGAGGAGGAGATTGACGTTACAAACGCCCATTTTCCCAAGGATAGGAGTAGCAGTCCGGACGTAGGAGGTACAGGAGCACATTAGGGCGACGGTTGAGTGAGCTTAGCTACTGATCCTACTCGACCATACTGGACCTGAGTGCGAGAGTTGTCTGAAGGGTTAGCAACGTCGAGAGATGGGGTGCATCGGAGGGAGTAGAGTGATGCTGACCGAGAGTAGGAGAAGAGATGAGTGATTCAGTGGCCTGGTTAGCTTATGTTCTTTCACGAGAGTCCGAATCGTATAGTGGGAGGAAGCTTGTGGGACCCAGAGAGACGGCGGTTGGATACGACATACCACTTCCTGTGGCATTAGAAGAGGCAGGGCGTGTACCGATACGATACTTGGGAACGTGGCTCGCAGAGGGGCTCTTCCTTTGGACAGTGATACTACGAGACAAACGACCCGAGAGGACTCATGATCTACAAGGGGTCGGACATGTGATAGCGGATAGAGCACACGATTTAGAGATAGGACTAACGCTCGCACGGGCGAGCAGGAGTTGGTGGAGAAGCGAGTTGTTGGCCACAGTGATCGTTAATCAGCAATTGGCGAGACTCTCTGGAAGGAGGACGAGTTGGAGCTGCTTGGTATACGGTCCACCACATCCAACCCTCTACCCGAGAAAGGATTGGCGATTCGGACTTCTAACCTTCGTGATAGGGCAGACCTATGGGAGCGTGGATCGTTTGAGTAGAGCAGTGGACCACACACTTTACGCGCTCTGGGAGGGCTTAGCGCCCCGCTTCAAGGAAGTATACTACRCCATTTGTGYGAGGTGGGGSCCGCCCWGTAGAGAGACGCTTGACGACATCATAGACGTTACTAGCTGGGTGAACTGTCTGAGGCCAATCGATCTGATTAGGTACTGCAGGAGACGGGCAAAGATTGATTACGCGGGGCTAGAGGATGTGAGATTTCTCTTCGAGGCCGCAGCTTAGGGAATGCCGGGAAGGACAACCACGGTGATGCGTGTAGAAGAGCAACTGGTAAGCGCAGGATACACTGTGACAGTACTTCTCCGAGCGTACGTAGACGAGGACTTGACAGCGAGTGAGTGCAGACAACGAGCTAGGGATTTGATCCATGAGCGTAGAGCTGATGTACTGGCGCGAGTGACCTTCCA